GGGCTGGGGGTTTGGGCAAAGGTGTTTGCGCCACTTTGGCGGCGAACGAAATCGTTGAGTCGACCTTGTTCTGGAAACTAGCTTGTTTGTTTTGGAAAATGGCGTGAAATTTTTGAATTGCATAATTTTTTTATATTCAGGTGTGGTGTTCTGGACAATTTTTGCTGGTGGATCGATGATTATTTTTACAGAAGTGACACTTGCTTTTACATAAATATTCTTTTATACGTCGATTTTCAATTGAATCCTGATGTGTTTCTCTTGCACAATTGAAGCATCTTGGCTTTGCATTGCAATTGTTTCTTGTGTGACCATAGAGTAAGCAAGCAAAGCATTGGGTCACAGGTGGTATGTAAATCGATACTTTCCTTGTCATGCCACAGAAACTAACCTCTTTTGAAAGACTTGTTCCTCTGCAAGTAAATAATCAGGTACCTGTGGGTATGTATAAGGGGTTTATTGTCTTTTAGGACTCGTATTCATTCGGTTTATGACCATTATTTGTTTTGATGAAATAAAATATTCTTTAACTGCTCCTCTGACAAATCCATGTCAACTTCCGTAACTATGGCCTTGCAAGTTACAAAGTTAAAGGGTATGTAGATTTCGTAGCCTTTGTCTAGAAGTTTTTTATTATTGACAAAATGGTTGGTTGCGCTATGGTTTAATTTTTCATTTTTAATATTTTTTACATTCGACGAGATGTGTAAAAGGTCAAATATTTCCTTGGCTGGTTTTAAATACGAATATTTAGAGATATTTCATATTGAAAATTATATTAAGGTAAATAAGGCTTTAATTTCAAATTGTAAATGTAAAATAAGAAAAAAAATTGTGAAATAAAAAACGGCATCAAATGATTGCTAATAATCTGTGGCATCTAAAGGGAGCATCTTATCGTGCTAAATTGATGCACGTTCTTATTGTCTACAGTGCGGATAACTATTATGTGTCGTCCACAATGGTTGCTGGTCTTGAAAGTCGATATGAAGTAGAAGTCGACCTCTCTGTTTCAATCACTAAGATTGAAAAAAAATGAATTTTTCTTCAGCATATTTTCTAAATTTAATTTTATTATTAGCTATCTATAATATGCCTGCTTGTTTGCATTAAGATGTGTTGCTTGGTTTTCTTCACATGCAACAGGGTGCAATACAATAAACGACCTTTGAGTTGGTCTTTAATTTGATGAGTATGTTTTATGGTTGGAATATTTAGGTGCCCATGCTGAGCGTTGTTTCTCACGTACCATGGGGCTGTACCCGCAGGTGCCCAATTCTCGAGCTCGAGAGAACGTGAAAGATCCCATCGCCGATGTGATCATTCCCTTCCCCGCCCTTTCTACAATGGTTCGAAAACCGTATTCTCGAATGCATAGGAAGCGATGTGAGAAGCGTTCACGGAAAGCGTTGTTGCCAACAACTTTATCAGAGAAATTCGACTCAAATTTACGATTAAGAGACGAAGATTTATCTAACGGCCAGAAAATTGGCGGGCGTTTCAAATAAAATATTAAAAATGTTATACCAGCTCAAGCTTAAAGCTGTTATAACAGCTAAATAGATATAATATACAGGGTTGCTCATTAGTGCGTCAAAGTGCGATATCTCAGTAAATATGAACTTTACAAGAAAATACGTCCTACGAAAGTTTTTCATGTTTAAAAGGTCCACATTTTAAAATTACTTTC